GAATTACGAAATTAACGAGCGAAACCGCCCAAGCCTACTAAATAGCATCGGTGGATTAAAAATAGGAAAGAGAGATGCAATGCATTCTCAGGGAACCAGGCCTTACTGTGGTTACGAAGAATTGCCACCGGGCTCTCATCCCACAAGGGATTCTGCACCCAGACCGGAGTGCCATTCTTGGTTTCCGATCCCAGACTTCTAGAGTTGGAAGAAGTGCCCAGGACCATACAGTCCAACCCCCTTCTCCCATGCCGGAAGACCCAGTCAAAGCACTCCAAACAGATGACTGTTAAGCCTGTGCCTAGAAACTGTTGATTGTTGGTTGACGAGGTGATAAAACTGCTCCGATACACAGCCATGAAGCAATAAACCAAATAGCTTTATTTACAGAGTATATACTAGGCCTGGGTAACAACGGAAAAATTTGTTTCTAAAATCGATTCGTTTTTTGGGTTTTTTTGCGTTTCGATATTTAAAAGAATTCCGAAATTTTCCTTAAAAAAAGTTCGATATTTACAAAATTTCGGAAATCGTAAAACGATTACGAAACAATTACGAATCGATTCGTTAATGGCGGCTGCGATCGCGCAATACGCTAAAAAAACTTCTGAAGCTTCCCTCTCCCTCTGTTGTTGACTGTTGGTGTGATATTATAATTTTTTTTCACTAATTAAACAAAAAACAACTATAAAACTTGCCCCAGACATGCGGAAATAATAACAAAACGACCTCAAACCAATAATGAAACAAATACATAACGAAATACGGAGCATTTACGAAACAAATTGAAATATTCGTTTCGTTTTTAAGTTGCTCCAGAATGGTTCGTTATCTCTTCGTTAACAAAAAAAATAACGAATTTTTAACGAATTACGAATTAATGAAACGAAACCGCCCAGCCCTACTATATACATAGCAGAGTTGCATGGTTGTGTCTGCCTGTGGCAAAAGACAACTCAGTAATGGCTACTTGGCTTCTTCTTCATACTCAGTAGAACACGCCTACTCACACTCCATACAAGTCATTATTAGGCTTGGGCGATCCAGTTCGTTAATTTCGTAATTCGTTATTAATTCGTATTTAAATTAGCTTACGATCCAATATCGAACCATGCAGGAATAGTGTGAGGAGTAATAAAGAATCGAAACAATTTTTCCAATTTTCGTAATTATTTCGTAATTATTTCATAATTATTTTCGTATGTCTGGTGCAAGTTTTACAATCTCGCATTTACCCCACTTCTGGTCCCTTTGCTCTGCTGCTTCCCTCCTCTTTCCTCATGCTTCTTCTTCCATCCTCACTCTAATATACAATACTATAATATAATATATAATATAATAATATTATAATAATATATTATATTATATATTATATTATATTATTATAATACTATTATATTATAGTATTGTATATATTATATTATATTATTATATTATATATTTTATTACTATATTATTATATTATAATTGTATAATATAATATAATATAATATAATATATAATATAATATATAATATAATATAATATAATATAATAATATAATATAATATAGTTGTTGTTTGTTTTATCACACCAACAGTCAACCACAGAGGGAGAGGGAAGCTTCAGAAGTTCCCCCTGTCCCATTTGGAGGTTTTTTTTGGAAATTTCGAAATTTTGAAATCTTAAATTTCGGAAGTCCTCAGAATTTAGAAATGCTAGCACACCCTAGAAACGAAACGAGTTTAGAACCAATTTTTTTTCTTGATCACCCAAGCCTAGTCATTATACGTCACATACAGGAAGCAGGAACTAACACACTTAACATTAAGACATATACATTTTGGAAATCTACTACATAACCCAAAATGCAATAACTGACAGAAACCTCCAGCAACGACATTCCCCACACACATTTCTTTGTTGGCCCTCAGGAGGTTCTTCCTAATGTTGAGGTGGGATCTCTTTCCCTGCTGTTTGAATCCTTTGATCCGTTGTGGCTTAGTCTCTCTCTAGAGCAGTGTTTCTCAACCTGGGGGTCGGGACCCCTAGGGGGGTCGTGAGGGGGTATCAGAGGGGTCACCAAAGACCATCAGAAGACACAGTATTTTCTATTGGTCAGGGGGTTCTGTGTATGAAGTTTAGCCCAATTCTCTCATTGTTGGAGTTCAGAATGCCCACCAGACCCTTCCAGTATTTTCTGTTGGTCATGAGAGTTCTGTGTGCCAAGTTTGGTTCATTTCCATCATTTGTGGAGTTCAGAATGCTCTTGGGTTGTAGGTGAACTATAAATCCCAGCAACTACAACTCCCAAATGTCAAGGTCTATTTTCTTTAACCTCCTCCAGTATTCACATTTAGGCATGTTGAGTATTTGTGCCAAGTTTGGTCCAGATCCATCATTGCTTAAGTCCACAGTGCTCTCTGGATGTAGTTGAACTAGAACTCCAAAACTCAAGGTCAATGCCTATCAAACCCTTCCAGTATTTACTGTTGGTCATAGGAGTTCTGTGTGCCAAGACTGGTTCAATTCAGTCGTTGGTGGAGTTCAGAATGCTCTTTGATTGTATGTGAACTATAAATCTCAGCAACTACAACTCCCAAATGACAGCATCAATCTCCCCTTCAACCCTACTAGAATTCAAATTTGGGCGTATCAGGTATTTGTGCCAAATTTGGTCCAGTGAATGAAAATACATCCTGCATATCAGATATTTACATGACAATTCATAACAGCAGCAAAATTACAGTTGTGAAGTAGCAACAAAAATAATGTTATGGTTAGGGGTCACCACAACATGAGGAACTGTATTAAGGGGTCGCGGCATTAGGGAGGTTGAGAACCACTGCTCTAGAGTCACAGAAAACCCCTTGACCTCTCCTCCACCTGACATCCTTTCACACCTTTCCACCTGGCTGTGATGCCCCCTCTTGACACATCTCTTCCAGCTCTACAATGCCTTCCCTGTTCTGATGGACTTGATCCCAGGACCCTTTCAACGCATGGTAAAAAACTCCATGAAATGCAGAGATATTGTTTTAGAGGAAGCCGAGGAACACAGGGCTACTTTGGACCCCAACTCACCTCGAGATTTCATTGACTGCTTCTTTATCAGAATGGACCAGGTAAGGGAGAGTTACGGAATCTGCAAGGAGATGCTTGAGTCGGAGCCATCCTCCAAGCACTGCAGTGTCACATATTTGCTCTAGATTTTGGATGAGAATTTCCAAGGACATCTCCAAGGCAATGAGCCTAACCCCATAGGGAGACTCTTTGCAGACATCCCACCCCCAGATGGAGGGTTTCTTTTGGGAGGAGGGTCCTTCAGGAAAGCCTTTCCTTCATCGGTTTCATCTATTAACCCTTTAAAGGATATTGTAACAGAATAATTAATTATAATGGAGTTTTGCCTATGTGTATTCATGTCGATATTATGACAAAGGCAGGCAAGAGTTGGCTGCATATGATTGGTCGATGCTGCAAAGCCTCTGCAGTAGAAATGTATCCATTTTAGGGTGACTAGCAGGCAAAGGGGCAGAACCAACTAAGAAGAAAAGAGGGGACATTTTAAAAATGAGCCAGTCTCTAGCCAGGGGAGCTAGAAGGTAGAGGTTCCTAGTTTAAGTTTGAGTCTTCAGCTGTGATATTAAAGTAATAAAGGGACCATTTTGAATTAATCTCTAGTCTGTGAGCTAGAGGGAAGAAGATCCTTGTATAGGATTATGCCTTCAGTTGTGGTACTGAAGTAATAAGAATCATAGAATCATAGAATCCTAGAGTTGGAAGAGACCTCGTGGGCCATCATCCAGTCCAACCCCATTCTGCCAAGAAGCAGGAATATTGCATTCAAATCACCCTTGACAGATGGCCATCCAGCCTCTGCTTAAAAGCTTCCAAAGAAGGAGCCTCCACCACACTCCCCAGGGCAGAGAGTTCCACTGCTGAACGGCTCTCACAGTCAGGAAGTTCTTCCTAATGTTCAGATGGAATCTCCTCTCTTGTAGTTTGAAGCCATTTGCGTCCTAGTCTCCAGGGAAGCAGAAAACAAGCTTGCTCCCTCCTCCCTGTGGCTTCCTCTCACATATTTATACATGGCTATCATATCTCCTCTCAGCCTTCTCTTCTTCAGGCTAAACATGCCCAGTTCCCTAAGCCGCTCCTCATAGGGCTTATTCTCCAGACCCTTGATTCCAGCTTGTCAATATCTCTCTTGAATTGTGGTGCCCAGAATTGGACACAATATTCCAGGTGTGGTCTAACCAAAACAGAATAGAGGGTAGCATGACTTCCCTGGATCTAGACACTATGCTCCTATTGATGCAGGCCAAAATCCCATTGGCTTTTTTTGCCGCCACATCACATTGTTGGCTCATGTTTAACTTGTTGTCCACGAGGACTCCAAGATCTTTTTCACACGTACTGCTCTCGAGCCAGGCTCGTCCCCCATTCTGTATCTTTGCATTTCATTTTTTCTGCCAAAGTGGAGTATCTTGCATTTGTCAATGTTGAACTTCATTTTGTTAGTTTTGGCCCATCTCTCTAATCTGTCAAGATCGTTTTGAATTCTACGAGACTAATTTGTGTCTAAGTCCTCAGTCAGGTGGAACTGAGAGACAGAAAGTTTTTCAGAATCAGTTACAGTCAGACTATTGTTGGAAAAAGTGACTATATGATATAATTTATCCAGTCGGAAGGCTGAGGAGAAATTACATTTGAAAGAGAAGGAAGTTACCTAACCAAGTTGACATAAGTTAAACTGTTCTGAAAGTTATATAGTATCAGTTTTATGTATTCACAAGAGTAAAAGACAGATGTAACAATATCAAGGTGGAACTGAAGTAAAGTACTGTGTAACAAATACGCTTTATGTGCACAAGAATTCATAAATAAACATTTCTTTGTTCCAACTAATTAAAGTCTTGTGTCAAGTTACAGGACTGAAGTTACATTCCTGAAAGTCAGCTGGAGATTATTTTGAAGCTACATATTGTCTACAGAGTTATACAACAAAGACACATATATAGACATTTATAATTGAACCCGTAACAAACAAATATAAGAAAGGTGACACAGAGACAAAGATAATGTATTTCATGGTATGAACCCCATGTTGCTGAGTCTGTGAGGTTTATTCTTCTTTCTCCCCTTTATTAGCATCATTGCCTGGTGCGTACGAGTACATATAATTTTACTCTGATAGATAGATAGATAGATAGATAGATAGATAGATAGATAGATAGATAGTAGGGCTGGGCGATTTCGTTCGTTAATTTCGTAATTCGTTATTAATTCGTTATTTTTTTATAACGAAGCGATATTGAATCATTCAGGAGCAACTAAAAAACGAAACGAATTTTTTCAATTCGTTTCATAATTGTTTCGAAATCGATTCGTAATTGATTCAAAATCGTTTCGTTATTTTTTCCGCATGTCTGGTGCAAGTTTTAGGGTTGCTGTTTGTTTTCTCAGTGAAAAAAAAATAATTATCACACCAACAGTCAACAACAGAGGGAGAGGGAAGCTTCCTGTCCCATTTGGAGGTTTTTTAGCGTATTGCACGATCGCGCCCGCCATTAACGAATCGATTCGTAATTGTTCCGAAATCGATTCATAATTGATTCGTAATTTACGAAATTTTGTAAATATCGAAATTTTTTAAAGGAAAATTTCGGAATTCTTTTAAAAATCGAAACGCAAAAACCCCCTAAAAACGAATCGAGTGTAGAAACAATTTTTCCGTGGTTGCCCAGCCCTAATAGATAGATAGATAGATAGATAGATGCCTCTCTCTCTCTCTCTCTCACACACACACACACACACACCACAATATATGTCAGGTTCAAGTACCATCTCCCATTTGATTCTAAAAGCCAAGCAGGGTTATGCCTGTTGAATAATTGGATGGGAGGTCACCAATAAGTACCAAAGCTGAAAGCTAAATTTCAGAGAAATGACCCACAGACAATTCTGAGCATTTTCTGCTTCGAAAACCTAGATTTATGAGGCCACAAAAATTTATAGGTGACTTGAAGGCCACATCCACACCTCCTGGAATGACCTGAGGGATGCTCGGCTCTGAGAATATGCATGTGTGTGTGTCAAGGTCATGGGGTCAAAGCCAATAGAAGACCAGACCTTGTGGAGCTGTGTCTGCCTCTCCTTTTCTCTCTCGGAGACCAGGGCACTGGACCTGGAAGGAAGAGAGAGCTCCTTTTATTCTGAGGACTCAGCCACAGAAAGGCTTCCATTGGTATTTCCTAGACTCCACTAAGCACAGTTGGGCTGAGTCAACCTATTATGTTGCGTGTATCACCAGGAGAAGCACAATGAGCCCTTTGAGCTCACCATGGAGAACATGGTCATCTGCAGCCTGGAATTGTTTGGTGCAGGAACTGAAACGAGCAGCATGACAATCCGATATGGGCTCTTGATCCTCCAGAAGTACCCAGAGATAGAAGGTAAGAAAGATGTGGGGACTTCAGGACAACAGGTTCCACCACAATCTTAGCTTCTGCAGATTAACTGTAATCTGAACCTGGAGTCACCATTAGGTTGAAAATAGGCCCTGGAAGTTGTTGGATTTCTAGTTCTGGTTGAAGTCAAAAGAGATGGAGATGATCCAGGCCAGCTGCTTTCACCGGTAGGTTCTTGTGGGTTTTTTCGGGCTATAGGGCCATGTTCTAGAGGCCTTTCTCCCGACGTTTCACCTGCATCTATGGCAAGCATCCTCACTACCTCTGAGGATGCTTGCCATAGATGCAGGCGAAACGTCAGGAGAAATGCCTCTAGAACATGGCCCTATAGCCCGAAAAAACTCACAAGAACCTAGTGATTCCAGCCATGAAAGCCTTCAACAATACATTGCTTTCACCAGGTTTCCAACTCTTGGTTTCTACTTCCTTGGAAACTTTTAAACAGAGGCTGGATGGCCATCTGTCAGGGATACGTTGATTATCCTTTTCCTGCATGACAGGGGATTGTACTAGATGGTCTACATGGTCTCTTCCAACCCTATGAGTCTATGGTTCCATAATTCTGGTCCAACACATTTGGAGTGAAAAGAGGTCCAGGTAGTGGCTGCACTTCTAATTCCTGGTTTCCGATCTCTGGATTGTTCAGCTGATTTTGAAGTTGTGTAAGACATTAAGAAGAAGGTGTTTATAGGCGACTGCTTTGTGACCAACTAAGGGAATTTTTGAACCAACTAATTCAGATGCAGAAAGAGCCTGGAGTCCAGACTCTTTCTGGGGAGGCAGGTGGCTTTGGTGACTTTGCATAGAACTGGGCATATCTACACTACAGAGCTAGCTCAGTTTGACATCCCCCCAACAGAGACAGAACCAATATCTGTGAAATAATTGAGTTCTATGGCATTCTGAGATTGGTAGTGTCTTGAGAGACTAATCACCCTCCACTATCACTTGGATTTCTTAGTTAAATCAAGTTACATGGGGAACTTTCGTGCAAATGATCAAAAGATCAAATGTAAAGAAATCCAGAACTCATCCATCAAAATGGCCAACAGGAAACATACCTTTGGGGAAGATCCAAGACTGTCAGTCACACTTGGGGACTCAAATGTTGCAGCCTCAGAGATCAGCTCAGGTAGTTTTGATAGACATAAAGGTGTAGACACCCACATTTGGGGATGGTGTGATTCTACTTTTGGATGGTATGTCTCTTTTGATGGCCATTCATACAAAACATGGAAGCTCGTGGCTTACTATATATGAAGGGAAAATTCACACTGATCTGGGATGCAAACTTAGAAACTCTAGATAGTGCAGCCACTCTCTAGACTTGGGAGAGARCTGGTGGGCCATCATCCAGTCCAACCRCATTCTGCCAAGTAGCAGGAAAATCACATTCAAAGCACCRCTGACAGATGGCCATCCAGGCTRTGTTGAAAAGCCTCCAAAGAAGGAGCCTCCACCACATTCCGGGGCAGAGAGTTCCAGAYTYTGGTGGAGGCTCCTTCTRTGGAGGCTTCCRGGGCATTTCTTGCTCTCTTGTCATGAGCCAGAGTTTGCATGATTTCTCTGATGTTTTCTGGATGCTTCTTTCTTGACATTGAGCCTCATGCATCTCCTGGCAGAGAAAGTGCAGGAAGAGATTGACCGGGTGGTTGGCCGCTCCCGAATGCCCAGCATGGCTGACCGTGGACAGATGCCTTATACCGATGCCGTCATCCATGAGATCCAGAGGTTCGTCTCTCTTTCTCCAATGTCCGTGCCACATTCCGTGGTCAAAGACACGTCATTCAGAGGATACGTCATTCCAAAAGTGAGTTCTCTGCTTCTCCTTCCAGAAGAAGACACTTCCACAGCAGAACCATAACATTGGGGCCCTCAAAGGGCATTGCTCTACTTGGCATCCAGTAGGACTAGAAATCCTATTTCTTATTTTTATTTTGACAATTTGGCCACTGTCTGACCTGACAAATCCGCATCCCGAACCCTACCTGCACCCCAGCACCTCAGCAGCATTTGACACAGTCGACCACAATCTTTTGACCCACAGCCTTGCTGCTGTTGGAGTCAGGGGGGCAGCTTTAAATTGGCTGTCCTCTTTTCTTCACAACCTTGGACAGCGAGTGAGGAGGGGAGGCCTGGTCTCTGAGAGGTCCCCCCTCTCTCTCTTGTGGGGTTCCTCAGGGGCCATTCTCTCCCCTCCGTTGTTTAACACCTATATGCGACCACTTGCTCAGCTGGTTCGAGGTTTTGGGCTGGAGTGTTATCAGTACGCTGATGACACTCAGCTGGTGCTGAAGATGGAAGGCCGACCGGACGCTGTATCCAATTGTTTCCATCAGTGCCTCGAGGCCGTGACTGGGTGGCTGCATGCCAGCAGGTTGAGGGTGAATACAGCAAAGACGGAGATCCTAAGGCTGGATTGACCGGGCAGTGGGGATGTCCAGCTGCCCACCCTGGATGGCGAGGCACTATGCCCGTCATCGTTGGTCAAGAGCCTGGGAGTCCTTTTGGACCCTCTGCTGACGATGGAGGCCCAGGTCTCTGCCGTGAGCAGAACCGCCTTCTTTCACCTGTGGTAGGCTAGACGGCTGGCCCCCTCCCTGTCCAGGGACGACCTAGCTACGGTGATCCAGGCCACGGTCATCTCAAGACTGTAACAACATTAGTAATTCCAAATCGGTCTCCTGATACGGTAAACTGGTGTAACCAGGAGGGTGGTCCCTCTGGATTGAAGGTAGTGCTGCTGAACGCCAGATCTGTCAATGGAAAAACAACTTTCATCCAGGATCTAATCCTGGATGAATGGGCAGATCTGGCGTGCATTACGGAGACCTGGTTGGACGAAGCTGGAGGCGTGAATTTGACCCAGCTTTGCCCGCCAGGTTTTCCGTGCAGCACCAACCGAGATCCGGAGGGCGGGGAGGCGGGGTCGCAGTGGTCTATAGAGATTCCATCCCTCTGACCAGGGGCCCCATCCCGCAGTCAACAAATTTTGAATGCGTCCACCTGAGGGTGGGTGACCGGGACAGAATAGGGATTCTGTTAGTGTACCGTCCACCTCGCTGCACTACAGTCTCCCTGCCTGAGCTAGCGGGGGTGGTCTCGGACCTGGCATTGGAGTCCCAACGGCTGCTTGTGCTGGGGGACTTCAATGTCCATGCTGAGGCCGCCCTATCGGGAGCGGCTCAGGACTTCATGTCTACCATGGCAACCATGGGGCTGTCCCAACAGGTATCTGGCCCCACTCACAGTGCAGGACACACATTGGACTTGGTTTTCTGTCAGGGGTGAGATGAAGGTAGCAGTGTTGAGGAGCTGACCATCTCTCCGTTGCTATGGACCGACCACTACCTGGTCAGATTTAGGCTTACTCAGCCCCTAACCTCTGCAGAGGTGGTGGGCCCATTAAGTTGGTCTGCCCCAGGAGGTTTATGGATCCGGATAGATTCCTGACGGCTCTTGGGGAGTTTCCCGCCTCCTCGGTAGGTGATCCTGTCGACGCCCTAGTCGCTCTCTGGAATGGAGAGATGGCCAGGGCAATTGACACGATCGCTCCGGAACGTCCCCTCTCAAGTAGCTGAGCTAAACCAGCTCCTTGGTTTACTGAGGAGCTGGCAGCGATGAAGCGAAGGAAGAGGGAACTAGAGAGCGTGTGGCGTTCGGATCCGAGCGAGCCAAATTGAACACGGTTTGTGTCCTTTCTAAGGGCATATGCCGCGGCAATAAAAGACGCAAAGAAGACTTTCTTTGCGGCCACTATTGCGTCTGCAAAGAACCGTCCGGCTGAGCTGTTCCGAATTGTCAGAGGCCTTTTAAATCCCACCACTCAAGGTGGGAACCCTGACGATTCGACTTCTCGCTGTGAAGCTTTTGCTCAGTTCTTTGCAGACAAAGTCGATTTGATCCGTTCTGGTCTGGATACCATGTTAATGGCAGTCTCTGAGGATGTAACACGAGCACCTGCTTGTCCAGTTTTGATGGATTCATTTCAATTGGTGAAACCCGAGGATGTGGACAAGATACTTGGAGGAATGAGGCCAACCACATGCATCCTGGACCCCTGCCCATCCTGGCTTCTAAAGGAGGCCAGAGGGAGATTGGCTGAGTGGGTTAAGGTGGTGGTTAATGCTTCCCTTCGGGAAGACAAGATTCCAGCGAGCTTAAAACAAGCTATAATAAAACCGCTGTTGAAAAACCATCACTGGACCCCACTCAATTCATCAACTATCAGCCTGTTTCCAATCTCCCCTTTTTGGGCAAAGTCCTGGAACGTGTGGTGGCCTCACAACTCCAGGTATTCTTGGTAGACACGGATTATCTGGATTTGGCACAGTCTGGTTTTAGGCCGGGACATGGAACTGAAACAGTCTTGGTCGCCTTAGTGGATGATCTGCGCCGGGAGCTAGACAGGGGGAGTGTGTCCCTGTTGGTGCTGCTGGACCTCTAGCGTTAGCTCGTGCTCGAGTGGTCGTCGAATAAAGACCATTCGCACTCTATATCCTATCTGTGACTACCTACATGGTGATGCACTTGGAGGTACAGTTTTACGGGAAGTGCTCTGTCATAATCCTAAGTGAAAGTACTAATCTCAAAGGTGTTACTGGGAATGAGACACTGTTCAACCACTAACCTTGGTCTTGTGGAGAGGTCCTGTGTGCGCTCAATCTGTCTCGCCATGTTTTGTTCAACAGACTACATGAACGCAGCTAGGATTAGTAATAACACAATAGATTATTTCGGAAAGTACAGAATCAGAATACTGTATATACGGTGCCATAAGGATGCTGTGTGTTTCAGGCCGTTAATTCGTATAATTCGTTATTAATTCGTTATTTTTGGCATTTTTGAAGCGATATCAAAACACATTTCCAAACCCGGAAGGGTTTTAAAATATCGAACCAGCAGCCCCCATAGATTTAACGAGCTTCCGCTCGTTTCGTTAATGGGGTGGAGGCTGCTGGAGTGCTGGTGCTGGGAGCCAATCCGGCGCTCCCAAGCAGTGCACCATGGGTCCGTGGCTGTCTCTTTTTGATTGGCCGGCGAGCCCTTTCAAAGCGGCTCCGCGCGGCCCGTAGCTTGCTGCAGAGGCGAGGGAGTTTGCATTGGGTTGGCTTGGCAATGGCTGCCTGCTAGCAACTGGGATTGGATTCATTCCTTGCTGCTGTGAGTGCTGCTTTGCTTCATTTGCTGTCTCTTGCCTGTGTTTGGTCCACATTTGCTTTCATTGCTGTCCTCTTTGAGTTTGCCTGTGTTTGGGGGGTCCACATTTGGTTTGGGGGGTGTGGGTTGGGGGTGGGGGCGTTGGTGGTTGGGCCCTTTTTATTTTTTTTTTTTTTTTTTTTTTTTTGTTTTTTTTGGTTTTTTTGTGCCATTTTTTGGTTAATTTTCCATTTTAAAATATTTTTTAATATTATTTTTAATATTATTTTTAATATTATTTTTTAATATTATTTTAATATTATTCTTAAAAAATATTCTAAAAAAGAAAAGACTCTTCTGTTGGTGTGTGCTCTCATTTGCTGTCTCTTGCCTGTGTTTGGTCCACATTTGGGCCATTTTTTGGTTAATTTTCCATTTTAAAATATTTTTTAATATTATTTTAATATTATTTTTTAATATTATTTTTTACTATTATTTTTAAAAAATATTCTAAAAAAAAGACTCTTCTGTTGGTGTGTGCTCTCATTTGATGTATCGTGCCTGTGTTTGGTCCACATTTGGGCCATTTTTTGGTTAATTTTCCATTTTAAAATATTTTTTAATATTATTTTAATATTATTCTTAAGAAATACCAAAAATATTCTAAAAATTCGTTAATATTTACAAAATTTCTTAAATACCAAAACTTTTTTTTGGAAAGTTTTGTAATTATTTTAAATATCGAAACAAAAAAACACCCCAATTACAAATCGATTTTAGAAACAAATTTTTTCTTGATCAAACAGGCCTATGCGGATGATGTCCAACTCTGTCACTCCTTCCCACCTGCTACTAAGGAGGCTGTCCAGGTCCTGAACCGGTGCCTGGCCGCTGTAACGGTCTGGATGAGGGCGAACAAATTGAAATTGAATCCAGACAAGACAGAGGTACTCCTGGTCAGTCGCAAGGCCAAACAGGGTATAGGGTTACAGCCTGTGCTGGATGGGGTCGCACTCCCCTTGAAGGCGCAGGTTCGCAGCTTGGGTGTGATCCTGGATTCATCGTTGAGCCTGGAGCCCCAGGTTTCAGCGGTGACCAGGGGAGCATTCGCACAGTTAAAGCTTGTGCGCCAGCTGCGCCTGTACCTTGGGAAGTCTGACTTGGCCACGGTAGTCCACGTTCTGGTTACATCCCGTTTAGACTACTGCAACGCTCTCTACGTGGGGTTGCCTTTGAAGACGGCTTGGAAGCTTCAACTGGTCCAACGTGTGGCAGCCATGATACTAACAGGATCGGCACTCAGGGAGCACACAACTCCTCTGTTGCACCAGCTCCACTGGCTACCAATTTGCTACCGGGCTCAATTCAAAGTGCTGGCTTTGGCCTATAAAGCCCTAAACGGTTTTGGCCCAAGTTACCTATCCGATCGCATCTCTGCCTACGAACCCACTAGGACTTTGAGATCTTCCGGGGAGGCCCTGCTCTCGATCCCGCCTGCAACACAGGCACGGCTGGCGAGGACGAGAGACAGGGTCTTCTCGATGGTGGCCTCTCTGCTGTGGAACGCCCTTCCCACGGACATTAGATTGGCTCCCTCATTGATGGTATTCCGAAGAAAAGTGAAAACCTGGTTATTTGAACAGGCGTTTGAATAGGCAGTGCAATGAATTTAGGAATGGAACTACGGATGACGAGTTTAGATCATGATTCTAGTTATGAGACGCCACTTGAATGTTTACTACTGTTTAATTGTTTAGTCTGCTACTGTGACAATTGTTTTTAAGTACCTTGTTGTTGTCGCATTAAATTTTGCTTTGATTGCTTTGCTTTGTTTTTGCTTTGTTTGATTGTTGTTAACCGCTATGAGTCGCCTAAAAGGCTGAGAATAGCGGTATACAATTGAAGTAAGTAAATAAATAAATAAATAAATAAATAAGACTGGACTACTGTAACGCCCTCTACATTGGCCTTCCTCTGTCGGTGATCCGGAAGCTCAAGTTGGTACAAAACGCAGCTGCTCGGCTTCTTGTGGGAATTCTGATGAGATGCCACATCACCCCAATCTGACTGCAGCTGCATTGGTTACCCATTGAGCACCGGATCACTTTCAAAGTGATGGTACTCACCTTTAAGGTCTTGCATGGTCTGGGGCCGATGTACCTGAGGGACTGCCTCACCCCCTACCAACCCCAGAGATCCCTCTGCTCTGAGGACCAAGATTTGTTGGAAATTCCCAGTGTCAAGACCTTGCGTCAAACAGCAACCAGACGCAGAGCCTTCACAGCAGTGGCACCATCACTCTGGAACACTCTGCCACCTGAAGTCCGTGCCTTGCGGGACTTATCCAGCTTTCCGCAGGGCATGTAAGACATACCTGTTTCGACAGGCTTTTAATGTTTGATATTGCTGTTTTTAAATTGTTTTAAATTGCTTTTAAATTTTGTTAGATTTTAGCCATTCTTGCAAGCCGCTCCGAGCCCCAGGGGAGTGGCCGCATATACGTTTGAATAATAAAATAAATGAATAAATAAATAAATAAATAAATAAAAGTATTGAAATTTCCAATGCAGCACAATTTTTGTTCCTGGGTTAACAATGTCATCTCCTAATTGGTTCTACTGTTTTTTGTGGTCCATCTTGCAATACATTTTGCTCTGGTTTTTCATTGAATCTCCACCAATTCAACCAAGTTTGTGGCAGCCACAAAAACAAAGTTTCTGGAGTAGAACAACTACTTTCCAAGTAATGACCACACAGTTAAACAGGAAATAACACTTTCAAACCAGGAACATAAAAAAATTCAAAGTTACGTTACATAGTGTTGTTATTTCACCAATTCCTGTACTCTTTGCAGGGCACCACCGTCATGCCTGCTCTGATCTCGGTGCTGTACGATGGCAAGGAATTTCCCAACCCCACTAAGTTTGACCCAGGACATTTCCTGAACAAGGACGGGACCTTCAGGAAGAGCAACTACTTCGTGCCCTTCTCGGCGGGTAAGCCTCTCCTTCTCCCATTGGGTAGCAGGCTGGGGAATCCTGTAGCTGAGAGGTTCCTTTATGGCTTCTGAGTTGCCCATTGCTGGGAATGAACCCTCACATGGTTGGGAGGTAGATATTGAACCATAGAAACATACCATTGGAAGAAACCACAAGGGACAACCAGACCCACTTGTCCCATGCAGACCAAAGAGAGCCCTTAACACTAGCCTTGAGCTATTAGCCACAATGTTGTGCACCCATGATGGCCAGAGTGGCAATCAAAGGATATTAAACAATATATAATTAATGCCCCCCCCTAAAAAAAACCACTTGATGGATTTTTTTTTCCACTGGAAAATGAAAAGGTTCTCACAGGACCCTCGTCCCCATCCTACCAGTCTTGAGGTATCAGCTCACAGCAGTTGTTCCCAATGAAAACACAGGACTGCACTCTGGTATCAAAGAGAATCTTTACTACTGGATACATGGACATATGAAAAGCCGAGATTGACCAGCAGCCGCTGGTCGCTCCTTATATACACTCCCCCTCATTTGAAAGGACAATTCCCGCCAAGTCAAAACCCCGCACAATATTCCCGCCACACTGTAAGCCGTTGTCTTCCAAGGTCAACAGCTGCGGAGTTCTTATCAATGTCTTACGTCAGGACCCTAGTTTTAGACACCAACACCAAGGGCCTGGAAACTGGATCTTGACATCCATGTTGTCATGACCCCTTTGAAATTGTTGAGATTAACTTCACAATTCAGCAGCAGATCAGTTGCACAACTTCAGTGCTTTCCAGTAGCTTCTTCCTGTACAGTATTTTCAGTCAACTGCTCCCACAGCCTGCAGTCACTCTGGAACCTTTTATAGACACTTGAGCACATGCCCGGCCATTGTCAGTTTTACCATTATCCTTCCCCCAGTCTAGATGACATTACAGTTATATCTTGTCTTAGCAAACAGGTTCTTTTAATCAATTACATACAGCCTTCGACGAACAACATCACAGCACAAGGAGAGAAATACACACTGTACATGACTTCCTTATATACAATTCATTTACACATAGCAATCACTGATTGGTTCCCAACTCATTGACTCAACTCAAACCCAGGATTACATCATTCACAATCACCTGGACTAGGCCAGAACACATTCCCCAAATGATTCCCTATATACAGTTAATGCATGACTCAGCATTTCCAATACAAGCCCATTAGCAGTGCGTGACTCAGCTATATTACATTACAATACATTGTAAAACCTGACAGAAATCCAGCATATAGATCTCATTTGCATAAAACTGAGATATGTGTGTGTGTGTGTGTGTAATGTTCATTTGTGGGATTAACATAACTCAAAAACCGCTGGACGAATTGATACCAAATTTGGACACAATACACCTATCAGGCCAACGAGTGACCATCACTCATAAAAACAAACACAATAGCATAGCATAAGAGACTTAAAAATCCAAAAAATAAAAGAATACATTACAACGCATGCGCAAAACCACATAAGTACACAAACATATACACACACATATACTCATACACACACACACACAAAGCATATATATACAGACTGGGCCACAGCAACGTGTGGCAGAGGACAGCTAGTCTATATAAAAACAAAAATGTAATGTTTGTTTGTGGGATTAACATAACACTAAAAATCACTGGACGAATTGACACCAAATTTGGACACAATACATCTCTCAGGCCAACGAGTGACCATCACTCATAAAAAACACTGGAAAATATAGCAAAAGAAACATAAAAAGCCAAAAAACAAAAAATGTATTATAATGCACACACAAAACCACATATGTACACAAATACACATATATACACATGTACACAAATATATACAGAAATATATACACACATATATGCACACACAAAACACATACACAGAAAGGGGGAAGGAAGGAAGGAAGGAAGGAAGGAAGGAAGGAAGGAAGGAAGGAAGGAAGGAAGGAGAGAAGGAAGGAAGGGGAGGAAGGAGGGAGGAGGGAGAGAAGGAAGGAAGGAAGGAAAGAAGGGAGGGAGGGAGGGAGGGAGGGAGGGGGGGAGGGAGAGAAGGAAGGAAGGGAGGAGGGGAGGGAAGGGAGGGAAGGAGAGAGAAGGAAAAAAAGGAAAGGAGAGAAGGAAGGAGAAGGAAGAAAGAGAGAAAGAGGGAGGGAAGAAAGGAAGGAAAGAGACAAGGAAGGATGTAACTGAAGAGCAAAGGAAGTGAGAAAAGAAACAGGTAGAAAGAGGAGGAAGAAAGAAGAATGGAAAGAAAAAGAGGGAAGGAAGGAAAGAGGGAAGGTAGGAAGGAGAGAAAGAAAGAAAGAAAGAAAGAAAGAAAGAAAGAAAGAAAGAAAGAGGAAGGGAAGGTTCGCCACAGCAACGCTTGGCGGGTACAGCTAGTGTATGTGTGTGTATGTGTGTGTATGTGTGTGTATGTGTATGAAACCATAAAAGGGAATTCATCCTGACCGTAAGAGCTGTTCATCAGTGGAACATAGTGCCTTATTTGACTTAGTTTCAAGACCCTCACAGTGTGGTGGGGCCTCCTTCTTTGGCTTGATTTGAAGACCTCTGAACATCTTGGTTACATACCAGCTTGTCAGATTTCCTGATCTGGATAGGGTTTCCAGATGAGGAGGCCTGACCAAAGCAGAACAGAGTGAGGCTTCTGCTTCCCTTGCTCTTCAGACTGGATTCTGCTGAGTGTCTCCTACAACTCCTTTGGTGACCCCCTTCCTTCCCTGTTTCTCCCCTTCCTTCCTTCTTTCCTTCCTGGGTCTCCTTGCAGGCAAACGGAACTGCGCAGGAGAAGGCCTGGCCCGCATGGAGCTCTTCCTGTTCTTCACCTCCATCCTCCAGAACTTCAAGCTGAAGCCTCTCATGGACCCCCAGGACATCGACCTCTCCCCCTTGGAAGGAAGAATGGACAATTGCCCTCAGCCGTACAAGTTCCGTGTTATCCCACGCTGAAAAACACACATCTGGAGAACGGAAGCTCTAGCAAAGTCCAGGGTGACCAGACAAGCTCTAATGGGTCTCCTCCAAATCTGCTCCTGTGGGAGGGTTTAACTTGCTTGCTATTAAATATTCTTTGACCCTATTCTCTTTATTCCCCATTCCGCATTGTTTTCAACTGATTTTGCATGCGGATATTCCAGACTGGGAAGGCTGTGTCTTTCAAGTCTTCTCACCTGGACTTCTTGGTTTGGCCTCCTGATGCTTGCTTTTCAGGGCCTTTTTTGAGTCCTTGAACCTTTGCTCATCAAAACCCAATAACAGAAACATAGAATCATTGGTTTTGTTTATTAAATATGCAATAAAACTGTTTGGTTGCTCCTGACATGATAAATAAAATTAAAAAATTGAGTTAGAAGACATCTTGTGGGCCATCCAGTCCAACCGCATTCTGCCAAGAAGCAGGGAAACCTAAAGGAGCCCCTAAAGGCAACTATTCCAGGCTTAACTTCTGCAGATTCAGTTGGTGTCATCTTTCTAGGAAGCTCTAAGAAGCTAGGAAAGTTTTGAGCAGAGAATTGAGCTGGAGGATCTCTCTTGGAATCTCTAGATCAGTGGTTGTCAACCTGTGGGTCTACAGGTGTTTTGGCCTATGACTCCCAGAAATCCCAGCCAGTTTACCAGCTGTTAGGATTTCTGGGAGTTGAAGGCCAAAACATCTGGGGACCCACAGGTTGAGAACCACTGCTCTGGAGGTTTGCATCGTTGACTCATCAGGATTAGATCAACCTTTGTTTAATCCAGCAAGGCATTGCCTATGTCCTTGAGCAAGAATAAATACTTGTGATTACTTAACAAAGGCATATTTATTGTACTGTTGCAACTCAGAATAAGCTTCACCTTGCTTCCAAACACCACCACACAAGAGCTGTAGTTTTACAGTTTATTGAGGAAAAATCCAAGTCAAAATAAAGAATAAGCATTGCAAGTTCCAAAGATTAAGGTAAAATGCAGAATACAGTTCCAAAGATCTTTAGGTAAAAACAAGGTACAAGCAAAGACCAATTGCCCCAAGAATCACAATGCAAGAAATCCCAAGTGTGCTGCTTGCCAGCTAAGGTAATCCATGAAGCTTTCAGGCTAATAAGCTACGTTGAACTGACACTTTCCCTTAGTTTGCAAGAAGCCTAAATACCTTTCTAACATGAAAACATTATGCTCTCACCAACATGAAAGCATTGCAATGACCTTGGCCTGAGTTGGCTTCCCGTCTGTTGGCCAGGCAAGAACTCCGCCTGACCCACAAATCAAGACGAGCCTGCCAGGTCAGGTCACTATCAAGGCTTTCTGCACTTTCAGTATCAGTGTGGGAAGGAGGCAAAAGCCTCCCCACCTGTTCGCTATCTGCTTCATTAAAATTATTTTCTTCTGAGAACCACTGTGTTGTTGACTCTCCACTTTCTGTGGGAGCCTCAGAAAAAGACCTCGAAGCAGGCCCAGAGATCTGAGGCACAGAAAAAGAGCCAGGAATCTGAATCCCATCATCCTCATCATCAGGGAACATCTCAGCCACAACACTTTTGTGCTTTCTTCTTTCACCTTGATTAGAAGGCTCCTCAATTCCTCCTCGTTTTCGGCCATCAAAGTGGTGTCATCTGCATATCTAAGGTTGTTAATGTTTCTTCCTACAATTTTCACCCTAGCCTTGCATTCCTCAAGCCCCGCACATCACATGATGTGTTCTGCATACAAGTTGAATAGGTTGGGTGAGAGTAGACAACCCTGCCATACGCCTTTCCCAATCTTGAACCAGTCTCTTGTTCTGGTCAGTTCTTACTGTTGCTACTTGGTCCTTATACAGATTCCTCAGGAGAGATATAAGGTGGCTTGGTATGCCCATACCACCCAGAACTTGCCACAATTTATTATGATGTAGAGACATCAGACTGGCAACTAAGATCCATTGCCTAGTCAAAGCCATGGTCTTCCCTGTAGTCACCTACAGATGTGAGAGCTGGACCTCAGGGAAGGCTGAGCGAAGGAAGAGAGATGCTTTTGAGCTGTGGTGTTGGAGGAAAGTGCTGAGAGTGCCTTGGACTGCGAGAAGATCCAACCAGTCCATACTTCAAGAAATAAAGCCTGACTGCTCATTGGAGGGAAGAATAGTAGTGGCCAAGATGAAGTACTTTGGCCACATCATGAGAAGAAAGGAAAGCTTAGAGAAGACAATGATGCTGGGGAAAATGGAAGGAAAAAGGAAGAGTGGCCAACCAAGGGCAAGATGGATGGATGGCATCCTTGAAGGGACTGGCTTGACTCTGAAGGAACTGGGGGTAGTGATGGCCAACTGGGAGCTCTGGCCTGGGATGGTCCAGGAGCTCACCAAGAGTCGGAAGCGACTGAACAAGTAAACAACAAAAAATGCAGTTAATCTGCATTCTGAAACTGCATTGCACGGCGGTGTAGACCCAGCCCTGGCCACCCATTGTCCCCTTTGGATTCTTAATGCACTAGACTGAAGCCACCGAGTTGTAAGCCACCCCCAGAATGGGGTGAAAACACTTCATTCACGGCAAGAAGGACCATTCCCTGCTGCATTCATGGAATCTATTGAAACGCCTTTGAGTCCCCCCTGGGGTGAGAAGGGCGGGGTATAAGTAAGTGAAATAAATAAAATAAATAAAAAGATACAATCTCTCACCTTTTCTGCTCACGTATAACCAGTATTGTGTAAGAGGCTGCTTCCTTAACAATGCGCTGCACGATGAGTAACATATACATAGAATCATAAAATCAAAGAGTTGGAAGAGACCTCCTGGGCCATCCAGTCCAACCCATTCTGCCAAGAAGCAGGAATATTGCATTCAAATCACCCCTGACAGATGGCCATCCAGCCTCTGTTTAAAAGCTCCCAAAGAAGGAGCCTCCACCACACTCTGGGGCAGAGAGTTCCACTGCTGAACGGCTCTCTTTACAGTCAGGAAGTTTATTTATTTATTTATTTATTTATTTATTTATTTATTTATTTACTATTCTTGTATACCGCTGTATCTCAAGCCCGAGGGCGACTCACAGCGGTTTCCAGACAGCAAAGACAATAAAAACAGCAGTAATCAATATACAAAACAGTTAAACTACACAGTTCCATTAATAACCAATAAGCAAATAACAATACACAATTATCACAAATCCCATCCCCCGATCGCCTCATCATCCAAACGTGATCCAAATTCGTCGTCATTGTTCCGTTCCTATGTTCACATTACCACACTTGCACTGAATTACTCAAATGCCTGCACAAACATCCAGGTCTTGAGCTTTCTACGGAATGTCATGAGCGATGGTGCCAGCCTAACGTCTACAGGAAGGGCGTTCCACAGCCGAGGAGCCACCACCGAGAAGGCCCTGTCCCTCGTCCCCGCCAGCCGTGCTTGAGAGGCCAGCAGGATCGAGAGCAGGGCCTCCCTTCTTCCTCATGTTCAGATGGGATCTCCTCTCTTGTAGTTGGAAGCCATGGCTCCATTGCGTCCTAGTCTCCAAGGAAGCAGAAAGGAAGCTTGCTCCCTCCTCCTCCCTGTGGCTTCCTCTCACATATTTATACATGGCTATCATATCTCCTCTCAGCCTTCTCTTCTTCAGGCTAAACATACCCAGCTCCTTAAGCCGCTCCTCATAGGGCTTGTTCTCCAGACCTTTGATCATTTTAGTCGCCCTCCTCTGGACACATTCCAACTTAGAATCAATATCTCTCTTGAATTGTGGTGCCCAGAATTGGACACAATATTCCAGGTGTGGTCTAACCAAAGCGGAATAGAGCATGGGGAGCATGACTTCCCTAGATCTAGACACTATGCTCCTCTTGATGCAGGCCAAAATCCCATTGGCTTTTTTTGCCGCCACATCACATTCCTGGCTCATGTTCACCTTCCTGTCCACGAGGACTCCAAGATCTTTTTCACACGTACTGCTCTCGAGCCAGGCATTGTCCCCCATTCTGTATCTTTGCATTTCGTTTTTTCTGCTTAAGTGGAGTCTCTTGCATTTGTTGAACTTCATTTTGCTAGTTTTGGCCCATCATCTCTCTAGCCTGTCAAGATCATTTTGAATCCCGCTCCTGTCCTCTGGAGTCTTGGTTCTCCCTCCTAATTTGGTCTGCAAACTTGATGATCATGCCTTCTAACCCTTCATCTAAGTATGGTAGAGGCTCCTTCTTTGGAAGCTTTTAAACAGAGGCTGGATGGCCATCTGTCAGGGGTGATTTGAATGCAATATTCCTGCTTCTTGGCAGAATGGGGTTCAACTGGATGATGGCCCAGGTGGTCTCTTCCAACTCTTTGATTCTAGGATTCTATGATTCACAGCAACGTTTCCATAAAACAAGGATGAGAACTTGCCGTGATTCTAAATGATGCTTCATCTGACTACACATCCCAAACTTGAGACTTTTATTCCCTTGTTAGCTAGGTCACTAGTGGTCAGAATTTGGTTTCTCTTTACTTGAGGCTTTGTTATTGTTTTCTGTCAAAGCCTAGTAGAGCGCCTAAGCCTTTCCACAGCTTTCCTGTTTTGATTGAACTCTTCTAATCTATCTCTCAGCTCGTTATCTACTTGCTCATTAATTTCTGCAGGTGCCGAGCTATTTTCATCATCATCCCCACACCCCTCATGGGCATTCTCATGGGGAACAACAGGGATCTCCTGGTCATTCTCTGCATCAATGTCACTGACTCTTTGATTCTAGGATTCTATGATTCCAAGTCATTAATCAAGATCCTGATCAGGACCGGGCTGTTGTATTGGCTGTTGTATTGGATCATACATCAGACACTTCCCAAGTTCATCACCACCACCACCACCACCATCATCATCATCATTATCATATTATATTTCTTACCCACCTGTCTTCATGGCTCGAGGCAGGTTATAACATAGCTAAAAACACATGGACATTGTATAAAATACACATATGAAAACGTATTTCTACAAAACAAATATCAAAATCCACAGAACAAGAT